CCTGGGCCCCGGTGCCTGGGGAGGGGCGGGTGCAGGCACTCGGGCAAGGCGGGTCCCCTCTCTCTCAGGCTGAGCTGGGCTCCAGGGCACCTTCAGCACGGATTCCAAGAGGCTCTGGGATTCCCCACTTTCTTCACTCTCCTCCCACCCAGGAGCGAGGTGGGGAGGCAGCAGTGAGGGGATCCCAGCACCCTCTCTGCCTGTGCCATCCATCTCCCGGGCCCCTCCCAGGCCTGCTTCCCACACAAGCTTCACCAGGAGCACAGGCTTCCATGGGGTGACCCCACGGTGCCCACGCCCCCCGAGGCCCCCTCTCCTTGTCCTAAGCATCGGTGGCGATGGCTCTCCCCGCCCCCTACACGGTGAGAACGCTCGGAGCTCGTCCGATAAAACCAGGATACTCAAAAACATCAAAGGAAGTGCCCGGTGTGAACTCACTCATCGGGCATCCGGGCTAGATGGCAGGGCCATGTCTCACCAGGTGTTCAAGCTCCATCCTGGTCCTCCCCCCATTTCTGGGAGATGGAAGGATTGTCCACCTTTACGGGAAGCTCACCAGCGGTCACTAAAAAACTAGTTTCAGCTATACATGGGGTGAGAGTCCTACGCCTGTGAAGAGTTGGTTCCGTTTTTACCACTGTACACACACACACACACACACACACAAGTACACACATCGCCACACGGACCCACAGACAGCACGGGCCCACTCCTGGGAAGCCGTTCCTTTCCTGGAATCTCCCACAAAAAGGAGGCGAGCTCCGCCTCGGAGCTGCTCCCAAAGAGACACAGACCACGGCTGTACGGACGGACGGGTGTAAACATTGTTCACCAGCACAACACGAGTCCTTGGGGAGGTGGGGAGGCGTGGGCATCATCTTTTAGAAAATGTGAGAACGGAGTGATTCTCAACAGAGATGATAAAACACTGTAAACAGTCACCAGTACACGATGCCTGTGTCTAGTTCTACCTAGAAGTAAACATTCCAAGATACACAAGGAGGGAGTCCAAACCTAAACTCCAATTGTTTAGAGCAGGAAGCACACGGACTGTCCTTTTGGGCTCATGAAATCGGCAATGTCCGTAGGTGCATCCATTTTGGGGGCCGGGAGCAGGGGAATAGATCATTCTTGGCCAACTCAAGGAATACAAAAGCCAAGCGAGGGAAAACCAAAACACCACCACCACCACCACCACCACCACAAGCAGCCAACCACCACCACCACCTCCGAGGTGGGACGTTCCATGTGAGTCATTTCCAGTTCTGGTTGAGGCCGGGGGTCAGCAGCCAGGCCCTCTGGGGCCAGGAACAGTCTGGACATGGAGTAGGCCACCACAATGTTGAGTTGTTATTCTTGTATTTAACATTGGAAGGAAGACGAAAGTTCTGTTTTCTCCTTCATGTAACTCCTAAAATTTTTTATTTTATTTCTTAATGGTTGGGCAAGGATATGAAGCTTTTCTGTTGATTCAATAGTTACAAAATAGTATGGACCCTGGGGAGGATACGGATCATGATGACGATGGTGATGCTGCTGCTGATGGTGAAGATGGGTGGTGGTGGTGGTGGTGGTGGTGATGAAGATGGTGATGGTGAAGAAGATGATGGTGAGGATGGTGTTGAAGATGGTGATGTGATGATGGTTAACATGGTGATGAAGATGATGGTGGTAAAGATGGGTGGTAGTGGTGATGGTAAAGATGATGATGGTGATGATGATGACGATGGTGATGATGATGATGGTGAAGATGGTGATGGTGATGATGGTAGTGGTGATGATGGTGATGATGTTGAAAATGATGATGATGGTGAATATGGTGATGGTGATGGTGGTGGTGGTGAAGATGGTGATGATGGTGATGATGATGATGGTGAATATGGTGATGGTGGTGAAGATGGCGGTGAAGATGGTGAAGATGGTGATGGTGAAGATGGTGATGAAGATGGTGGTGATCGTGAAGATGACGATGAAGATGATGATGATGGTGATAAAATCCCATCACCATCCTCTTGCAAATAAGACATAAAACGTGGTGTGAAATACAGGTGATGGTGGGACATGGCGAGTCTACAAGACGATTTGAGCTGAACGTGTCCTGTGTAAGGCATAGGCTGGGTACATCGAGGGCAGTATTTGCTGGGTTCAGAGTTAAGAGTATCTGACCGTCTTCTGGTCGTTGGTGTTGAGACCTGGCAGAAAGTGGAACTTCCTAGGCTCTGAAAAGGCATCTTGCTCTCATGGCGTTCACGTGAAATGCCTTTTCTTCTCTCTCTTGGCCCAGAGGCAACTCAAAACGGAGACAGTCACAGGTGTGAGTGTAAACAGCAGTGGTCAGGAGGTGGTTGGTCCACAAACAGGTGAAATTCTCAGAAGAGCAGACATTTCATGGAAGCCAACAGATTCAACCAGTTCCTCTGCACATACCTAACAACGTACTTTTAAAACTGGATTTGCTAAGTAGAAGCCCATTGGCCTGTGGTCTATGGGGCCTGATGGCCTCATAGCACATACCTAACCCTTGGACACTGGGGGGTCCTATATCCTTAGGTTTTCACTCACTGGATAGGCAGCGACATTCCTCCAAACACATTCCTCTAGGTCAGCAGTCGGCAAACTGCGGCTCGTGAGCCACAGGCGGCTCTTTGGCCCCTGGAGGGTGGCTCTTCCACAAAATACCACGGCCTGGGCGAGTCTATTTGGAAGAAGTGGCCTTAGAAGATGTTTACGTTGAAAACAGGTGGATCTCCAAAGAGCTGTTGATATCTGGCTCTGTGGACTCATGAGTTTGTCCGACCGCTCCTCTCTGTCCACCCCTTCTGGGTCTGGCCAGCACCCAATAAATTTGTGTGACATCAGCACTTTTCTGTATTTCCTCGGCATCCTGGTTTATCTTTTTCTTCTGAGACACAATAATGCGCCCAATCGATCATTCAGCTAAGAATTCTATGCCTGCCAATACAATGAACCCAGTTTTCGGGGTGAGAAGCACAGACTCTGGCGCTAAAATTTCAGTGTGGAAACTCCGCACGCTGCGAGGCCTTTCCTGTTTTCCTGTGAGGGCGGGAGCGTCGGAAGCATCTTGGGAAGTAGTACACACACAGGCATCCAGTGGGGGGGAAACACACACACCCCAAAACACAAAACAAACCCACACACAAACGAAGAACTCACATCACGAAGCAAGTCGGTTTTTGTTATAAAAAATATCAAAAGGGGGCTAATTTCTGGGAACCGTTTCTTTGGGCTTTGGCTAGGTAACCCTATGTCTACGTATAAAAGCATTTGTGTGTGTGTGTGTGTGCATCAAAATATATCACTGAAGACAGACCGTTTCCCTTTTTTTTTTTTTTTTTTTTTGGCATCTGAAGTGATCGGACTTGGACGTGACTACGCACTAAGAGAAGAAACGTTAAAACTATCTACATTTCGGTCACACGCCGGGAACCACGGTCAAGACAAAAGGCCTGGGGATGGTGTGTGCGTTGCTTCGAAAGATGGAGAGGAGCCGATACCGGTTTGGATAGAGCGTCGGCCTGTGGACTGAAAGGTCCCAGGTTCGATTCCGGTCAAGGGCATGTACGTTGGTTGTGGGCACATCCCCGGTAGGGAGTGTGCAAGAGGCAGCTGGTCAATGTTTCTCTCCCATTGACGTTTCTAGCTCTCTATCTCTCTCCCTTCCTCTCTGTAAAAAATCAATAAAATGTATTTAAAAAAAAAAAAAAAGAAAGACGGAGAGTCTTGGTCAGAGTATATTAGCCGAGGCTGGGCCACCCCGACTCCCAGTGGTTTGCAATGAAGCAAGGGCCTTTTCTGATGCTCAGCCATGTAAAAACCTCTGAAAATCCTAATATTTTTCCTCCACGGAAAACGTCGGCGTGATGCCTGCCCCGCCCCCTCCCTCCCCATCCGAGGCGAGGTGATGTAGGTGAAGGAATGGTAGCCGGAGCCAAACAGGCCATGGAGAGAGAGGAAGCGGGTTCGAGACTCACCACCAATCACACTTGAACTCGGGGTGCTCCTGGGGATGGAGGGGGGCCCTAGGGTGGAGGGCAGTAGGAATGTGTCTCAGCTGCAGGGACCCCACACACACGGGGGTGCTGGCGCCCTCCAGAGGTGAACAAAGGAAAGAGCCCGCTAGGGTCGGCTGGCCGCCGAGGTCTCAGAGATATTTGCTCATGTGGGTGAAAGAAGAGATTTCTCGGCAACAGTATGCGGCAGCTGCTTCCAACATCCGGGAACCGTTCACAAACACCACAGGGCTGCCAATTCAGGAGGGACTGGCAAGAACACCCCTTAAAAAAATGCAGCTGGCGGCCCTCACCGGTGCGGCTCAGTGGACAGAGCGCCGGCCTGCGGACTGAAAGGTCCCAGGTTCGATTCTGGTCGGAGGCATGGACCTTCGTTGCGGGCACATCCCCGGTAGGGGGCGTGCAGGGGGCAGCTGATCGATGTTTCTCTCCCATCCATGTTTCTAGCTCTCTCTCCCTCTCCCTTCCTCTCTGTAAAAAATCAATAAAATATTTTTTAAAAAATTCAGTGTGTGGCTGATACCGGTTTGGCTCAGTGGATAGAGCGCCGGCCTGCGGACTCGAGGGTCCCAGGTTCGATTCCGGTCAAGGGCATGGACCTTGGTTGTGGGCACATCCCCGGTGGGAGGTGTGCAGCTGATCGATGTTTCTCTCCCATCCATGTTTCTGACTCTCTATCTCTCTCCCTTCCTCTCTGTAAAAATCAGTAAAATATTTTTAAAAATGCAGCGTGTGTGCATATGTGCATGTGTGCGCGCACATGCGTGTGTGTGTGGGTGTGAAATACACAACGAGGGTCTCCGCCGTGTCCTCCCTGCGGCTCAGCGGTGGGCTGGGGTGAGGACAGTGTGCGGAACAGCGCCCTCCTCTCCTCGGTGCTCGGCGGGACGGGTCCGGGTGGGCGGGAGCCGGGGAGCCGGGGAGCCGGGAGCCGGGAGCCGGGAGCCGGGCCGCTCCCCGATTCCCGTGAGGCTCAGAGGTACAGGTAGCCGACCCAGTAGACCAGGTTGAAGAGCAGGAAGGAGGTGGGGAAGAAGACGCGTGAGTAGGCGTCCAGCTCGGCCAGGTCGATGTGCAGGCGGCCGCGCCGCCAGGGCCCCGCCTTGCACTCCTCGAAGCAGCAGAAGAAGCCCTGGCAGTCCTTGCCGTCCAGGCACTCGTACCCGCACGCCTCCTCCAGCTCCGGCCAGTACCGTGCGTGGCTGAGGGCCACCACGGCCGGCGGCGGCCGCACGTCCAGCAGGGAGTAGTTCTGCGAGGGGGACCGGGACGGGACGGGGATCACCACGGGGGTCACCACAGAGGCCACCTCGAAATGCACCCAGAATGGCCAGGAGGGACCCCTCCCCCCTCCCCATGGCAGGCACAGGAGGGTCAGTCTTTGAGGATTCTGTTTTTTGCAAATCGAATGCAAGGAGTAGCACAGCCGAAACCGGTGTGGCTCAGTGGATAGAGCATCGGCCTGCAGACTAAAAGGTCCCGGGTTCGATTCCAGTCAAGGGCATGGGCCTTGGTTGCGGACACATCCCAGTAGGGGGGTGTGCAAGAGGCAGCTGGTCGATGACTCTCATCGATGTTTCTAACTCTCTATCTCTCTCCCTTCCTCTCTGTAAAAAATCAATAAAATATATTTAAAGAAGAAGAAGAAGAAGCACAGTGCATGCCACTCGGCTGGCATGGCTCCGTGGATCTGAGTGTGGCCAGCTGGCCCAGGAGGTCACAGGGGGCATGTGCCCAGGGTCTCGGGCTGGAGCCCCAGTAGGGGACACGCAGAAAGCAGACATACGCAATAACATATCTGTCTATCTCCCTTAGTAAGAATTGGCAGAAGCGTTTGCACCTGTAGCGCTATACATACGGAGGGGGCCTGCAGGGTGATCCGCTCCTGGATCCACCTCGAGGAGTCTGGACGCAGTAACTGTAAGAGAAATGGGAAAAGGGAACTACAAAACCTGCATCAAGCAGCCCCTCGTTCAGAACAATTTAAAAACATATCTTTATTGACTTCAAAGAGGATGGGGAGGGGAGAGAGAGAGAGAGAGAGAGAGAGAGAGAGAGAGAGAGAAACACCAACAATGAAAGAGGATCACGGACCGGCTGCCTCCTGCACGCCCCACATGGGGGAGCGAGTCTGCAACCTGGACCTGTGCCCTGGACCCGGAATTGAACTGTGACCTCCCGGTTCACAGGGCAATGCTCAACCATGGTGCAACACCGGCTGGACTTAAAAAGCTTGCTGAGTTAGCTATTTATATCATCTATAGAATAAAAGGCTAATATGCAAATCGACCCAAGGGCCGCTAGGATGCGCACTGACCACAGGGGGCGGATGCTCGATGCAGGCGCTGTCCCCTGGCCTCTAGTGCTGGATAAGATCCTCAGGCCGTTTATCTGACTCCCCTGCCCCCATCTCCGCTGCGGGCGCTCACCGGCGTTCTCTTCCTCGCCACCGCCGGCTTCCGGCAGCTGGAGTAGTAGTTGAGGGTGGCGTACTCCATGAGGGCGGCGAAGACGAACAGGAAGCACACAGTGACGAAGAGGTCCATGGCCGTCACGTAGGACACACGGGGCAGCGAGTTCCGGGCGATGGTGCTGAGCGTGGTCATGGTCAGCACCGTGGTGATGCCTGCGGGGGGAGGGGGCCCCGGTGAACGGGGGCTGCCTGACCGACCCCCTCCACGCCCCCCTGCCCCCTCCACGCCCCCCTGCCCCCCTCCACGCCACCCTGCCCCCTCCACGCCACCCTGCCCCCTCCACGCCCCCCTGCCCCCCTCCACGCCCCCCTGCCCCCTCCACGCCCCCCTGTCCCCTCCACGCCCCCCTGCCCCCTCCACGCCCCCCTGCCCCCCTCCACACCCCCCTGCCCCCTCCACGCCCCCCTGCCCCCTCCACGCCCCCCTGCCCCCTCCACATCACCCTGCCCCCTCCACGCCAACACCGTGCTCTACTCTATTCCCATTTAAACATGTCTTATGATGGAGGGGGGAGAGGAAGGGAGGGGGGGAGAGAGAGAGAAAAGGATGGGGAGAGAGAGAGAGAGAGAGAGAGAGAGAGAGAGAGAGAGAGAGAAAGGGAGGGAGAGAAAGGGAGGGAGAGAAAGGGAGGGAGAGAAGGGGAGAGAGAGAGAGGGAGAGGGTGGGCATGGAGGAGAGAGAGAGAGAGAGAGAGAGAGAGAGAGAGACAGAGAGAGGGGTGGGGGCCGGGGCCGCTCACCGAGGGCCGTGCGCGCCGGGGTGGCATCCTTCTTGATCCAGAAGGACACCCAGGACAGGACCACGGTGAGGATGCAGGGGATGTACGTCTGGATGGTGAAGTAGCCCATCCGCCGGCTCAGCTCGAAGTAGATGGTCATGAGGACGTAGTCGCCTGCAGCACGCAACACACATGTACACACGTGTACACACACATAGGCACACATGCATGTACACGCGTGTACACACATACACACAGGCACACAGGCACATACACAGTCACTGGTGAGGCCACCTCCAACACACACACACATACACACATGTACACGCACACATATAGACACACAGATACACACACACACACACACACACTCGCGCGCGTGTACACTCGGCCACCCGGGAGGCCACGCCCTCGGCCCGGACACGGACGGGGAACGCCGTGGTGCGTGAGAATGTGCCCACGGCTCTGTGTTCACGCAGAGCGGCCGAGGGGGAAGCGGCACTGAGCCGGGGGAAACCACGCCTTTCCCGATCCCACCTCTTCTTCTTCCTCCTCCTCCTCTTTCTTCTTCTTCTTTCTCCTCCTCCTCCTCCTCCTCCTCCTCCTCCTCCTCTTCCTCCTCCTCCTCCTCCTCCTCCTCTTCCACCTCCTCCTCCTCTTCCTCCTCCTCCTCGTCCTCCTCCTCCTTCTCCTCCTCCTCCTCCACCTCCTTCTCCTCCTCCTTCTCCTCCTCCTCCTCCTCCTCCTCCTCCTCCTCCTCCTCCTCCTCCTCCTCTTCCTCCTCCTCCTCCTCCTCCTCTTCCACCTCCTCCTCCTCTTCCTCCTCCTCCTCTTCCTCCTCCTCCTCCTCCTCTTCCTCCTCCTCCTCCTCCTCCTCCTCCACCTCCACCTCCTCCTCCTTCTCCTCCTCCTCCTCCTCCTCCTCCTCCTCGTCCTCCTCCTCCGGAGGCCGCGGTCTGTGGCAGCCATCTTTGGGGCGGCTGACAGAAGCCTCCATCCTGAGATCGCTCCCCAAAGCCATCTCAGGTTGGGAGAGAATTAGCATTCCGCTCCGAGGCGCTGGGGTGATGAAGCCGCAGCAATCAGCGAGCACAAATATTTCCCCGCGTCGGCAGCGTGCGGGGACCGTCCCTTCCCGGGGGAGGCCGGGCTGAACAGCGGGCGATATTAAAAGCCTATTAATTTTTACATAAAATCTCAATCAGGAGCGGAGCAGGAAGACAAACAGGAGACGGGAACGCCGGAGAGAATAAATCACCCCGGCAGGAATACGCACGGCCCCCCACGGAACATCCAACGGAGGCCAACAGCGAGCGAGATAAACGGAGGGCCAATGCCATCCTTGCAGGCGACGCCGACCTGGGAGAGCAGCTCAGCAGACCCTGCCCCGGCCACGTCCCACTGTGGGGAGGAGGGTGAGAGGGGCCATGATCCAGGGCCTGACCTTGAGCTGCTGTGGTGGGACGATGAGAAGCTGGGAGAGTTCCCATAGAGCAGAACAGGGAAAAATTAAAGCCCAAAAGCCCTGGCTGGTGTGGCTCAGTGAGTAGAGCATCCATCCTTGGGCTGGAGGGTCCCGGGTTCGATTCCGGTCAAGGGCACAGGCCCGGTTTGTGGGCTTGGTCCCCAGGAGGGGGGTGTGCAGGATGCAGATGATCCATGATTCTTTCTCAGCACGGATGTTTCTCTCTCTCTCCCTCTCCCTCTTTGAAATCAATAAAAATATGTATTTATTTTATTTTATTTAAAATATATATATATGTCATTGCTTTTTTACAGAGAGGAAAGGAGAGGGATAGAGAGTTAGAAACACCGATCAGCCGCCTCCTGCACAACCTCCCACTGGAAATGTGCCCACAACCAAGGTATATGCTCTTGACTGGAATCGAACCCGGGACCCTTGAGTCCACAGGGCGACGCTATATCCACTGAGCCAAACCGGTTAGGGCAAAAAATACATTTTTTTTTTTAAACAAACCAAAAGCTTTGCAGGCTATATGTAGCAAGACCTTAACTTGAGAACAAAGAATTAAAACCTCTCCTTCACACAAGAGAATGCAAAGTGGGGGGAAAAAGAGGGAGAAGAGGAGGAACCTGCAACTAGAAAATGCACATATTTAAAAATATATGTTTTTATTGACTTCAGAGAGAGGAAGGCAGAGGGAGACTGGGAGACAGAAACATGGATGATGAGACAGAATCATGGATCGGCTGCCTCTTGTGCGCCTCCTCCTGGGTGGGAGGGATCGAGCTGGCCGCCCGGGCGTGGGCCCTGGACCGGAATCGAACCATGACCTCCTGGTTCCGAGCGGATGCTCAGCTCGCTGAGCCATGCAGGCCGGCGGGGCGGGCGGCCATTTGCTCTGGAGGAAATAATTCATGAGCCCTGGCTTCCAGAGGGCAGACGCAGTCCAATGGGACTGGCCTCCCAGAGCCCGATTTTCTCGGCGGGTGAGCCGTTCGTTCAGCCGAGCAGTGTTCTTCCCGCTCCCCCGCGCTGGGCTCGGTCTTGTTAGCAGAAAAGACTCGGCCGCTATTTTTAAAACCCCAGACCGGCTGACGTATTCCCCAGGCTGCACTCGGAGCTCCTCCGCTGGAGCTGTTTTAGACGTGAGCATCTCTCTGCACTCAGACATAAACCTCCTGGCGCCCGGGGCAGCACGTCCTGTCGGATAAAATGCCAACGGCGGACGGAGCGGGCTGCTGAACTCGGAAAGCGATCCGTGGGCCCCACAGTTCTCCCCCTCAAGGAAGGACGCGAAGGATAGCAGGACATAGATCTATACGAATAAAAGGGCCATGCGCTGATCAGACCGGACCTCCTTCCGGACAAAGCCACCGTGGCGGGGGGCGCTGAGGCAGAGGCCGTGAGGGGCGACCAGGCAGGCAGGGGAGGGCAGTCAGGGGCGACCAGGCAGGCAGGGGAGGGCAGTCAGGGGCGATCAGGCTGGCAGGGGAGGGCAGTCAGGGGCGACCAGGCAGGCAGGGGAGGGCAGTCAGGGGCGATCAGGCAGGCAGGGGAGGGCAGTCAGGGGCGATCAGGCAGGCAGGGGAGGGCAGTCAGGGGCGACCAGGCAGGCAGGGGAGGGCAGTCAGGGGCGACCAGGCAGGCAGGGGAGGGCAGTCAGGGGCGATCAGGCTGGCAGGGGAGGGCAGTCAGGGGCGATCAGGCAGGCAGGGGAGGGCAGTCAGGGGCGATCAGGCTGGCAGGGGAGGGCAGTCAGGGGCGACCAGGCAGGCAGGGGAGGGCAGTCAGGGGCGATCAGGCAGGCAGGGGAGGGCAGTCAGGGGCGACCAGGCAGGCAGGGGAGGGCAGTCAGGGGCGACCAGGCAGGCAGGGGAGGGCAGTCAGGGGCGATCAGGCAGGCAGGGGAGGGCAGTCAGGGGCGACCAGGCAGGCAGGGGAGGGCAGTCAGGGGCGACCAGGCAGGCAGGGGAGGGCAGTCAGGGGCGATCAGGCAGGCAGGGGAGGGCAGTCAGGGGCGACCAGGCAGGCAGGGGAGGGCAGTCAGGGGCGACCAGGCAGGCAGGGGAGGGCAGTCAGGGGCGACCAGGCAGGCAGGGGAGGGCAGTCAGGGGCGACCAGGCAGGCAGGGGAGGGCAGTCAGGGGCGATCAGGCAGGCAGGGGAGGGCAGTCAGGGGCGATCAGGCAGGCAGGGGAGGGCAGTTAAGGGTGATCAGGCAGGCAGGGGAGGGCAGTTAAGGGTGATCAGGCAGGCAGGGGAGGGCAGTCAGGGGCGACCAGGCAGGCAGGGGAGGGCAGTCAGGGGCGACCAGGCAGGCAGGGGAGGGCAGTCAGGGGCGATCAGGCAGGCAGGGGAGGGCAGTCAGGGGCGATCAGGCAGGCAGGGGAGGGCAGTCAGGGGCGATCAGGCAGGCAGGGGAGGGCAGTCAGGGGCGATCAGGCAGGCAGGCAGGTAAGTGGTTAGGAGCCAGTGGTCCCTAAACCGGCAGTAGGACATCCTCCCAAGGAGTCCCAGATTGGAGAGGGTGCAGGTGGGGCTGAGGGACCCCCACACCCCATGCATGAATTTCATGCACCGGGCCTCTAGTCTATATACATAATGTTTTATTTTGTTTTGTTAATCCTTACCTGAGGATAGCTTTTCCATTGATTTATATATATATATATTTGTTACTGATTTCAAAGGGGAAGGGAGAGGGAGAAACATCCATGATGCAAACCATTCATCGGCCGCCTCCTGTACGCCCTCTGCTGGGGATCCAGCCTGCCACCCGGGCCTGTGCCCCGACAGGGAGTCGAACCCATAACCTCCAGGTTCATGGCTGGACGCTCGGCCCCTGGGCCACACAGCCGGGTCCCACGGATTTTTATTTTTTTAAGAGAGCCACGCCGTGGCTGGCCTGCTCCTCCCTGAGGGCGTGGTCGGGGTCTCCGTGGATTTTTATTTATTCTTTTAGAGAGAGCCACGCCGGGGCTGGCCTGCTCCTCCCTGAGGGCGTGGTCAGGGTCTCCGTGGATTTTTATTTATTCTTTTAGAGAGAGCCACGCCGGGGCCGGCCTGCTCCTCCCTGAGGGCGTGGTCAGGGTCTCCGTGGATTTTTATTTATTCTTTTAGAGAGAGCCACGCCGGGGCCGGCCTGCTCCTCCCTGAGGGCGTGGTCAGGGTCTCCGTGGATTTTTATTTATTCTTTTAGAGAGAGCCACGCCGGGGCCGGCCTGCTCCTCCCTGAGGGCGTGGTCGGGGTCTCCGTGGTGTCCCATGGATTTTTTTTTTTTTTTTTTAAGAGAGCCATGCCGTGCCCGGCCGGCCTGCTCCTCCCTGAGGGCGTGGTCGGGGTCTCCGTGGATTTTTATTTATTCTTTTAGAGAGAGCCACGCCGGGGCTGGCCTGCTCCTCCCTGAGGGCGTGGTCGGGGTCTCCGTGGTGTCCCACGGATTTTTATTATTTTTTTTAAAGAGAGCCATGCCGTGCCCGGCCAGCCGGTTCCTACCTGAGGGCGTGGTCAGGGTCTCCGTGGTGTTCCGGTGGCCCATGAAGTCGAATTGGTAGAGCCGCCAGGACTTCTGGTTGGCCGTCTCCACCGAGTTCTTCCTCCACCGGTAGATCATCTCCTCCTTGGGGTAGCCATCTGCGAACACGGCACACGCGTGAGCACGCCGGAGGACACGGGTGCCACCCAGCACGGCCGCTTCCCGTGTTCGGACGCTTCGGGCCTCCTTGGTCTCCGCATTCCCCTGAACGCACAGACACCCCCAAAAAATGAGCGGACAAAGGGCCCCCGGCTGAGGAGCTGCAGGATCACAAGCCGGTCCCCAGCCACTGGCCGGCCGGCAGCTAGTGGACACCACACACCAGAGCCGTCTCGATTTCCCTCCCCGTGGAGAGCCACGCTGTCACGGACCCCGAGAGCTCACAGCCTGGCCCAGACCCGCCCACCGCACCCTCCATCCGCTGCTCCCCGGAAGGAGACCAGCCAGGTCTCCGGAAAGACAGATCCCCAGGTGGGGGCGTGCAGGAGGCAGCCGGTCCAAGATCCCCTCTTATCACAGACATCTCTCTCTCTCTCTCTCTCTCTCTCTCTCTCTCTCTCTCTCTCCCTTCCCGTCTGAAATCAATAAAACAAACAAACAAACAAAAAACCCCCAGAAAACCCCCCAAACAATAACAAGCATGATTCCGAGCAGTAACCTCTCCAGTCGCTGCCTCGCCCACTTCCTGCGAGCAGACAGAACTTTCCAGAATTCACCAGACATCGACAAGACGCCAGGCAGGCGGAGGCTTTATGCAAATGAACCCTTTCTAGCCGCGAACGTTAATTAGCGGGATGCATTCAGAAGCAAGATAGGAGGATGAGGAGAAAAAAAAACACACACACACAAAAAACTGGCATCTCATTCTTCCCACCGGCAAAAAATAGAAAAGGGAAAAAAAGGGAGGATGGGAGAGAGGACGCCCGCACACGTCACCGCAGTGGGGGAGGAAGTAACTATTCCGTCCGCAGCTGGGGCTTCCCTGTGTCTTAAACCAGCCCCAATGTCCGGGTCTGAACGTGTTTGTTTTACAGAGAAGGACCCAGTTATGTGTGAGAGTTACACACGCGCTTACGTTACCCGTCAGAACGTGACTTACCCACACCACAGCTCTGAGATCAGGGCGTGGCTCCTCCTGAGACCCTGAGGGCCAGCCTAACCCTCAGAGGCAAGCCTTGTCCCTAAGGCTCAAACACAGTCCTGAATCGGCAGTCCTTTTTTAGTTGTTATTTAAAAAATAATAATCTTATTGCCAAAGCCGGTTTGGCTCCGTGGATAGAGCGTCGGCCTGCGGCCTCCGGGTTCGATTCAGGTCCAGGGCATGGACCTTGGTTGCGGGCACATCCCCAGAAGGGGGTGTGCAGGAGGCAGCTGATCGACGTTTCTCTGCCATCGACGTTTCTAGCTCTCTATCCCTCTCTCTTCCTCTCTGTAAAAAATCAATATGTTAAAAAAATAATAATTTTACTGATTTCAGAAGAGAGAAAGAAGAGAGAGAAACATCCACGATGAGAGAGAATCATCGACCCGCTGCCTCCCGCACGCCTCCCTCAGGGATGGAGCCTGCAGCCCGGGCCTGTGCCCCGATGGGGAATCGAACTGTGGCCTCCGGGGTCACAGGTCGCCGCCACAGCCCTGCGCCACACCGGCCGGGCTCAGCGGGCCATACGTTAGACCCAGAGCATGGTCACGGCTCGTTTCCTGCGAGTGTCGGCGATCATCCGCCAGACGCTGTGCACATACACGAACGGCGGTTCATAGTCTATTTGCCGCCTCATTGGCTGCCTGCTCCCGAGGAATTGTAGGCCTCGTTTCACTCTGTGTAGCTGCCCAGACGGAGCAAATGTAGATAAAAAACGTGAGGAATCACCGGGCCACGGAGGACAGACTCATTTCCGCGGCCACTGGCCATGAACAGAAACGCAAAGAGGGATTCTCCTTCGGGGAGATGATGACGGTCCGACATGCAAATCCTGTGGCCTGTGACGGAACATGCCCAGATTGGACTGGGAGTAGCAAACAGTGAGAAAAAAACCCAGACTTTAATTTTTGACTTCTTTTAAAAATAACATATTTTATTGATTTTTTTTAAAAAAATATTTTATTGAGTTTTTTTTTTTCTGTTTTTTTTTTTTACAGAGAGGAAGAGAGAGGGATAGAGAGTTGGAAACATCGATGAGAGAGAAACATCCATCAGCTGCCTCTTGCCCACCCCCTACTTGGGGATGTGCCTGCAACCAAGGTACGTGCCCTTGACCGGAATCGAACCTGGGACCCCTCCGTCCACAGGCCGACGCTCTATCCACTGAGCTAAAGCGATTTTGGCATTTTATTGATTTTTTGAGAGGAAGGGAGAGGGGGAGAGAGAGAAATACCAGTGATGAGAGAGAATCACGGATCGGCTGCCTCCTGCATGGGCCCTAGCGGCAATCGAGCCCGCAACCTGGGCCTGTGCCCTGACCATGCTGGATGGGCTGTTGGTTATTTTAAAAAATATATATATTTTATTGATTTTTTTTAACAGAGAGGAATAGAGAGGGATAGAGAGCTAAAAACATCAATGAAAGAGAAACGTCCATCAGCTGCCTCCTGCATACCCCCCAACTGGGGATGTGCCTGCAACCGAGGTACATGCCCTTGACCGGAATCAAACCCGGGACCCTTCCGTCCGCAGGCCGACGCTCTATCCACGGAGCCACACCGGCTTCGGCTATTGGCTCATTTTTTTTTTTTTTTTTTCTAAAAGCACTCAGAGGAGTCCACTCCATTGCCTCCCGAATTCCATCTTCTCGGCTGACACGTCAGCTCTGGCTTCCCCAGCCCAGGCCTGCCCTTTGGGAGAGGATGCGTGTTCTGGCTCTCGGGGATGTGACGATGGTCTCCTCCGCGCGGTCTGATTTTCCGGCTGATTACCTCGATGTGTTTCAAGTCTTGTTTTTTAAAATCACTTCCTTTTTCATCCCGACGGAGGTCAGATGGTTTTATTTATTTATTTATTTTGATGTTTGATTGGAGGTCTCTCGTCAGCTTTAAGTTTTCCCTTCGCGCTCAGGACCTCACATGTTAGCTGCCCATCATTTTCTCCCTCTTCCGCCCCGGCTCTTCCCTCCCCCGCCCGGCGCCACCTCCGCGTCTGCGTGGGTATGATTCTCCCCCTGCCCTGCTCCTCGGCTCTGCAGCATTTCATTTGGCCGTTTCATGCCGACCTGACCTTCTAGTTCACCGCGACCTCTTTTGAGTGCGTCAAGTTCCATTACGAGACATTCCTTTTTATTTCTCTTTCAGAATTTGCTTTCTCTTTCTGGTCTCCGGCCCACTGCTGAATTTCTATCGCTTGTATTTTTAAAAAAATATATTTTATTTATTTATTTATTTATTTTTTACAGAGAGGAAGAGAGAGGGATCATCGATGAGAGAGAATCACCGATCAGCTGCCTCCTGCACACTCCCCCCCCTCCCCGGGGATGTGCCTGCCACCAAGGTCCATGCCCTTGACCGAAATTGAACCCGGGACCCTTCAGTCCGCAGGCCGACGCTCTATCCACGGAGCCACGCCGGTTAGGGCTGATCTCCTAAGTTCTAACAGCGGGCTGGAAACAAGGAAGAGGAAGGGAATTCTAAAAGCAAGCAAGCCCCAGCCAGTGTGGCTCCGTGGATAGAGCCTCAGCCTGCGGACTGAAGGGTACTGGGTTCGATCCCGGTCAGGGGCACATGCCCGGGGGGGGGGGGGGCCTCGATCCTCAGTAGGAGGGCGTGCAGGAGGCAGCCGGTCGATGATTCTCTCTCACCCAGGATGCTCCTCTCTCTCTCTCCCTCTCCCTCCCCCTTCCTCTCTGAAACGAACAAAAATACATTTTAAAGGAGTGCTCCCCAGCGGACGTCTCAGCGCTCGGCGGAGAACGCCGTAAACCAGAAGGTAGGTCAGGTCAGGCCGCCCCTGGGGTGGAGCTCGGGGCTGGCGGGTCTGCTGCGGGCTGCGGGGTCTGGGAGGGAGGACGATGGGAAGCCACTGCTCGCTCCCGGGGCGCTCAGAGGAGGGGGTGGCTGCCAGGCAGGCGCCCGGGTCCCAGCCGTCATCGCCGGCCCTGAAGGCCCTCTCCCTGGGACCGCCCCTGTCCCTGCACATGGCTCCTCGAGATCTCGTTTGCTCCCTGAACCATTCAGGGAATGGGTACAATTTGTTTAAAAGGCAGGAATCTCTTCTTCACTTAAAAACATACTCATGCCCTGGCCGTTGAGGCTCGGGGGGTTCAGCATCGAACCCTGAACCAGGAGGTCACGGTTCGATTCCCGGTCAGGGCACATGGCCAGGATGCAGGCTCGGTCCCCAATAGGGAGCATGCTCACACTGGGTCTTAATAAAACAAGGGAGAGAGAGAGAGACAGAGAGAGGGGGGTTGGAGGGAGAGAGGCAGAGAGAGAGAGAGAAATCGGAGGGAGAGAGAGACACACAGAGAGAAGGGTTGGAGGGAGAGAGAGGGAGAGGGAGAGGGGGAGAGAGAGAGAGAAACCAGCCCCTACCTAATATTCTGGCATTATGTTGGCAATTGCTTTTTTTCCCTAAAATAAGCATCAAGCCCAATAACAATGATGTATCTCCTATAAAATGCACCCAGACAGAGGTCTGGAGCCGAGTTAATATCTGCACATAACCTCGTGCAATCCTGTAGGGCGTTATCGGCTTAATAAAACACAGCGGAGGCAATTACAGCCCAGCAGAGCGGGCTGAACGCCTATCGGGGCTCACACTGCAGGGCGGCGGACGGGGGAGACTCTGCCCGCGGTGTGTGTCTGAGTTCCGGAACATTCCTGTGCTCTTTCCCCACCCCAACGGCTTCCAGTGATCGCACTTCCTTCTCCCCACCACACGTTTTTTGTTCCGGTCTCTTAGGACAGCAACGTCCTACTCGGATGCATGCAACAGGATTTGCTTTTTCTGAACAGACCATAAGATGTTTATATTTGTGAAATGACTGCCGGACGTTATGGCTCAGTGGTAGAGCATCGATCTAGGAACCAGGAGGTTCGATTCCCGGTCAGGGGCACGTGCCCGGGGTTGCAGGTTCAATCCCCAGTAGGAGGTGTGCAGGAGGCAGCCGGCCCATGATTCTCTGTCATCCTTAATGTCTCTCTCTCTCTCCCTCCCCCCTCCCTCCACCCCTCTCCGTGAAATCAATACAAACAAACTTAAGAACGTGCTTGAGAGAGAACACATTCACGGTAATTGGTTTTATGGAACGGAGATTTGCACAAACAGATAATTTCCCTCGGGGTCTTGGGCTTTTCTTTGCAAAGACACCCCACCCCGCCTGGCCAGAGAGCAAGGAAGGGGAGTGGAGCCCTCACTGGTGTGGCTCAGTGGATAGAGCGTCGGCCTGCGGGCTGGGGTGGGGGTGGGGGTGGGGCCCCAGGTTTGATTCTGGTCAAGGGCATGGACCTTGGTTGTGGGCACATCCCCAGTAGGGGGTGTGCAGGAGGCAGCTGATGGATGTTTCTCTCTCATCGGTGTTTCTAACTCTCAATCCCTCTCTCTTCCTCTCTGTAAAAAAAAAAATCAATAAGATATATTTTAAAAATAGAAAGAAAGAAGAAAGGAAGAAGAAAGAAAGAAAAGGGAGTGGAACTCACAGACTCTAGTTGCCTACCTGGGACAGCACGCTGCGAGAACTGTCCGTGGTGCTGACACAGCGATTTCTGTTACCAGCTAGCTACGGTGTTTCCCCGAAAATAAGACCTACTCACAGGTTTCCTTCTGAGTGAAATATAAGGCATCCCCCGCCAAAAATAAGGCCCCCCCTAGGCTCTGTCTCAGAATGCTACGGCTAAACATGAGAGATTTGGTCCACTGATTCTGAAAGAAGTGGAGTCACAAGAAATTCACCAGGAAATTCAGGAATTGGATTGTTATGATGATGTTCCAGAAGATGATGACATGATTGTCATTGAATAAATGAGTAAATTCTTTTTTTTTTTAAATTGATTATTTGTTGTCGGTAGCGATCAGTATTTTTTTTTAAAATATTTTACTGATTTTTTACAGAGAGGAAGAGAGAGGGATAGAGAGCTAGAAACACTGATGAGAGAGAAACATCGACCAGCTGCCTCCTGCACACCCCGTACCAGGGATGTGCGTGCAACCAAGGTCCATGCCCTTGGCTGGAATCGAACCCAAGACCTTTCAGTCGGCAGACCGACGCTGAGCCCACTGAGCCGCACCGTTTCAGCCGGATCTGTCTCTGTCGTTGAGCAGGACCCTTCTCCATGGTCGTGGTCAGGGATTCCTAGCCAGCCCCCCCCCCCCCCCGAGAGGCGGGGCCAGAGGAGAAGGCAGCTGGCCACAGACCCAGCGCGACAGACACAGAGACAGAGACAGACACGTGGCTGTCCACGCCGGACCCCCACGCACACTTGGGGGCGGGGAAGCTTCCGGGCCCGCACCACGGAGCCGCCGGTTGCCCTCCGGTACCCGCCGGCTCTGCTCTCTCCGCTCTGAGCTAATGACACGGAGTTAAAACTGTGTGTCTGGCCTTTGTCCCTTTGCTGGCTCAGAGCTCCTGACCCCTGGACCGTGACCAGGGCCGGCCTGACAGCCCTTTGTTGTGCGAAGGAGGGAAGGAGGCTGCCGGGAGCGGGAGCGGGGCTGGTTGCCAAGGGAACGAGGCGGGTGAGGGGCGGTCGGTGGGGACGGGAGTTCCATCCCCCTGATCTCTGGAGAGAGGAGAGGGGGCTGGAGGCCGAGCCAGCCACAAAGGCCAACCGTTGTGTTTTTTTTTTTTAATTATTAGTTTTGGGCCAGAAAACCTTTTTGAGAGAGATGGCCCTTCCCCCAGCAGACGGACGGAGAACGAGGCAACCTGCACCTGCAGCCTGGACATTCCTGAGCCCCAACCAGGCACCTTACAGGGACTGTGCATTGAACCGCCAGTCAGCGCCTGCCAAACACCCTGCGCCCCAATTCCTAGGTCCCTGTGCCTTCTATAAAACCACCAATCTACCGAAACCGGTGTGGCTCAGCGGGTACAGTGTCGACCTGCGAACGGAGGGGTCCCGGGTTCGATTCCGGTCAAGGGCATGTGCCTTGGTTGTGGGCACATCCCCAGTGGGGGGCGTGCAGGAGGCGGCTGATGGATGACTCTCTCTCATCGATGTTTGTAACTCTCTATCCCTCTCTCTTCCTCTGTGTAAAAAAACAATAAAAAAATATTTTTAAAAATAGATAAAATTAAAAAAAAACACACCCACTTATCAGCGTGTGCCGAGTGCCCTAAGCCCCGTCCCCTCTTTCCTCCCCTTAAAAGCGCTTGTGCCCCGGCCCTCGCTCTCTCTCTCTCTCTCTCTCTCTCTCTCTCTCTCTCTCTGGAAGCAGCCGGCAGGGGTACTCTTCTCTCCAATCAAAGCCCGTGTCCTGGCCTCCCTTCTCTGTTCCGTCTTCCAGTGTCTGGTTAAACAACAAGACCCCCGCCCCGCGCACAGACCCGTCTCTGTGACCAGGAAAGGCTGCACGGAAGCCAGAGGGAGGGCTCCTACGCTTGGGGTCTGGCCTGGAAACACCCCCGGGGCCCACACCAGACCGTCCAGATGCTCAGACGGGGGCATGCCTCCGGGGGGGCCCGGGGCCGGGTGGGGGTACTCACAGCTGGAGAAGATGAGTGGGCAGGAGTGCTCGTCCATGGGGAAGTGGTGCAGCTGCAGCTGGCACTCGGCGTTGATGGTGAGCCTGCGGGGGAGGGGAGGGAGGAGCCAAGGTCATGGCCAAGGTCAGTGGCCAAGATCAGCCCGGCAGAGTCACAGTGGGGGTGGGGGTGGGGGTGGGGGCGACGGGGCGAGGGCACCAGCCGTTCGGTGCTATCGCGGGGCTGTCTGGATGACGTGCCATTCTGTATGGCTTTTAAAAATAAATATATATATTTTTATTGATTTCAGAGAGAAAGGGAGAGGGAGAGGGAGAGAGAAACATTGATGAGGAGAGAGAATCATGGATCAGCTGCCTCCTGCACGCCCCCCACCGGGGATGTGCCCGCAACCAAGGTCCATGCCCTTGACCGGAATCGAACCTGGGACCCTTCAGTCCGCAGGCCGACGCTCTATCCACTGAGCCAAACCGGTTTCGGCTGTATTGCTTTTTAAAAATAAATATATATATTTTATTGATATCAGAGAGGAGGGAGGGAGAGACATCAGTGATGAGAGAGAATCCTGGATCGGCTGCCTCCTGCACGCCCCCTACTGGGGATCGAGCCCGCAACCCAGGACATGTGCCTTGACAGGATTCAAACCCGGGACCCTTCAGTCTTCAGGCCCTCGCTCTATCCACTGAGCCCAGCCGGAGCGGGAGGTGTAGAGTCATTTTGGATTGCTTTTTTTTTTTTTTTTTAATGTGTTTTTATTGCCCAGACCATGTGGATGGAGCGTCCACCTAGGAACCAGCAGGTCAGGGTTCCATTCCCGATCCGGCCCGGGCCTGGGCTGTGGGCTCCATCCCCAGTGGGGAGCGCACAGGAAGCAGCCAATCCGTGGTTCTCTCCCATCATGGACGTTTCCCTCTCTCCCGTCCTCTCTCTGAAATCAGTAAAGACCTACTGAACCCGAGAAATGAAGTCAACAGCCTGGCTCGGCGGTCAGAGAGCCGGTCGGAGGGACCCGGGTCTGATTCCGGGTCACGGCATGGGCTTCGGTTCGGGGTCCCGCAGGCCCGGTGCAGGAGGCAACAGATGGATGTGTCTCTCGCACATCGATGGCTCTCTCTCTGTCTTTCTCCCCCTCCCTTCCACTCCCTCTAAAAAACCATGGAACTGTATCTTCGGGAGAAACATCCTTTGGTGAGCGATGATGAGAGAGAGAGACAGAGGGAGGGAGGGAGAGAGAGAAGAAAGGAGGGAGAGGGAGGAGAAAGAAGGAGAATGAGAGAGAGAGAGAGAGAGAGAGAGAGAGAGAGAGAGAGAGAGAGAATGAGGGAGGGAGGGGGAAGGAGGTAGAGATAGAGGGAGAGGGAGAGAGAGACAGAGAGAGAGAAGAGAGAGAGAGAGAAGAGAGGAGAGAGAGACAGGGGGAGAAAGAGAAAGAGAGAGAGAGAGAGAAGGAGAGAGAGAGAGAGGACATGCAGCGAAGGCGAGAGGGGAGTCTGACAGCAGGCTGAGGCCTGGGGCTCAGGGCGGGCAGGGCTCCGAGGTCCCGGCCCCTCCTCATGCCCGGGGTGGGGGCGAGGGGCAGAAAGGCTGGCGGAGGGGCGGGCTGGGCCGTGGCCTGTGGCAGGTGCCCCGGTCAGACTCCCGGAAGCCCAGCTCCTCTCCCCCTGTGCCCAGATCTCCGGGCGCCGCCCCCCCCCAGCACACGTGACGGGGCGTGTGCGTGTGCAGGAGGATGGTGCATGGGGAGCACCCTCCGGCGGTCTCACCCGGCCCTGTGATCGCGGGTTTGCTAATTGGCCCTAATGACACGTGCTAATTAGCTCGTCCTCGCTCCCCCTCAGCGGCCCGTGGGGTGAATGGATTACAGCGCCCTTTTCCACACCAGCTTCCAGCAGCGACGGCTCCGATGAGGAGCAGCCTCCGTTCCTGGCCAGCTACCTGGGCCTCCCTTTTCTTAATTTTTTTTCGAAGGTGACATTTATTTACTTATTTTTAAGTGTATTCTTAGATTTCAGAGAGGAAGGGAGAAGAGAAGAGAGAGAGAGAGAGAGAGAGAGACAGAGAGAGAGACAGAGAATATATATCATGGATGGGCTGCTTCCTGCACACCCCTCACTGGAGATGTGCCCGCAACCAAGGTCCGTGCCCTTGACCGGGAATCGAACCGGGGCCTCCTGGTTCCCAGGCCGATGCTCAGCGCCTGAGCCACGCTGTGACCTCTATTCTCACACCCGCGGGGTCCGGGTGGGCGGACTGCCCGGGCGTGGACGGTGGGCGGGAGACCCCGCCCCTCCCGGCCCCGCCTGCTCGCCTGAGCGTGTAGAGGATCTTCCCGTCGCTCCAGATGCGCAGCAGCTGGTTGGGCGTGGTGATCCAGTGGGCCTCCGCCGTCTTCGAGTTGCGGAAGATGGTGTCGGGGATCCAGATGAGCCCCACCATGTTGCTGTTGAGCGTCAGGATCTTCATGGAGCTGTTGAAGCGCAGCCGGCTGTCCGTCCAGGTCTGTGCGAAGAAGATGTCGATCTGGTACTCCTGCAACACGGCGGGGGGCAGGGGGGGCCTCTGTTAGCAGGTTTCCTCTTAAAAAAAAACCACACCATTTTTTTTGTATTGATGTCAGAGGGGAAGGGAAAGGGAGAGGGAAAGAGAGAGAGATACATCCATGATGGGAGAGAACCATGGATCGGCTGCCTCCTGCACGCCCCACGCTGGGGATCGAACCCGCACCCCAGGCAGGTGCCCTGATGGGGAATGAAACCTGTGACCTCCTGGTTCGTAGGTCAATCAATGAAACTATATTGGAATCAATAAAACAGCGAACAGACATCAGTACTATAATGTCACCCGCCCCTAGCAGGAGACGGCCTCCCCGTTGCTATGGGAACAGCCCCGCATTACCTTCCCTTTGTCCCCGAGAGCAGCGGTGACAGACAGAGCCTGCATCCTGGTCGCCACGGCAACAGCCTGCGACGGCTCCTGGTCCCGGTCCTGCTCCCTTCCCGCTCCCACCAGGACACGGCTCCGACTCCCGGTGACAGACAAGGAGAGAGCCGGGGCTGGGTGCCCGGGTCTGACCCAGGCGGCAGGGGCCTCCATCCTGCAGGTGCCAGCCCCCTGGCAGGAGGCACATGGCCTCCTCCCTCCCTCCCTCTCTCTCTCTCACACACACACCCCGGTCTGCTTCCCTAAGGACGGCTCGATTTTTTTGTTTTGTTTTGTTTTTATATATATTTTATTGATTTTGTACAGAGAGGAAGGGAGAGGGATAGACAGTTAGAAACATCGATGAGAGAGAAACATCGATGAGAGAGAAACATCCATCAGCCGCCTCCTGCACGTCCCCCACTGGGGATGAGCCCGCCACCAAGGTCCATGCCCCTGAGCGGGATCGAACCCGGGACCCCTCCGTCCGCAGGCCGACGCTCGGTCCAGGAGCCACACCGGTTTCGGCGAGAACGGCTCGTTTTTTAGCTTCAGTCCCCTGGGAGAGGTGTCTCCCGGGCTCAGGGACGTCCCGACCCACAGCCGTCCGTGAACCGTACACGTGTGTTTCTGAGGCCCCCGCAGAACGCTCCGGAATGCCGCCGTTCGTTCACTGCGGGAAGTGCTCTAGGGAACACGGAGCCCTGGCCGGTGCGGCCCCGCGGACGGAGCGTCGGCCTGCGGACGGAGGGGTCCCGGGTTCGATCCCGCTCAGGGGCATGGACCTTGGTGGCAGGCACATCCCCAGTGGGGGGCGTGCAGGAGGCGGCTGATGGATGTTTCTCTCTCATCGATGTTTCTAGCTCTCTATCCCTCCCCCTTCCTCTCTGTAAAAAAAAAATCAACAAAACATATTTCTAAATACAATAAACACACACGCACACACGCACACACACGCACACGCGGAAAAGCAGCTTCCTGTTAAACAGCAAGCCCGTCCCCCGCCGAGCAGCCGCTCACGAAGCCGGTCGGGGCTGAAAGGAATCGTGGGCCGCCCGAGGCTCTGCTCCCGGTGGGGACAATGGGCCATTCTTCCCCGGACGCAGGAATAACCCGGCGGGCGGCGGGAGTCCCGGCTCCCGGCCTGGGCCCCATTCAGCCCGGCCTCGCCCTCGCCCACGCCCACGCCCGGCCCGGCCCGGCCCGCACGGGGACTCTCAGTGTCCCATTCGCTGCCCCGACCACCGGCGGCTCCTCTGGGTCCAGGGCCCGCCCGGGCCTGAGACCACCAACAGCCACACGGAATCCCAGCAGCGAGGCCGGTGCACACGCGTGTCCCGGGGCCGCTCGGCCTCAGCACGGACCTCCTGTCCGCGGCGGCCGCCGCCCCCCTGAGCGCCCTCCTGGCCGCACACAGAGCCACGTGACCCTCCCCGCCACGCGTGGAGACATCACAGGCGTGGCTCCGTGGCTGGCGTGGCTCCGTGGCCGAGCGGCCATGTGTGAACCCGGAAGTCCCGTGGCCCCGTGGCCGGCGTGGCTGAGCACAGACCGAGGAACGGGGAGGTCACGGTGTGATTCCGGAACCATCGATCTGGGACCACCTGGTTCAGAGGCCGGTGGGCGACCACGGAGCCACGCTGGCCCCACCGCCCCGGCATTTTAACGGCTCCGCGATTGGATCCTCCCGTCGTCGGGGATTCCTCCTCTCCCCCTGCACTCCCTGTGGACGGAGAATAAAACTCGCGGCTCAGCCTCCCGCCCTCGAGCGAATGAAATATGAGCGGGATTCGATGCTCCATAAAGATAAACGTCTTATCGGCGTCTGATTGCCCGGGCCCCCGAGGGGGCTGTGCGCCGAGCCTCGGGGACTCCGCTCGGCTTTCCTCCCCTTTATCCGTCCCGTGAGGGAGGCGGGGGAACCAGCTCCTTATTTGCAGGGACGGCTAATAAACTCCAGAAGCCGCTCTCTCGCGGGGTGAGCGGGTCGGGAGTGTGTTAGTTCGTGGCACCTGTTCTCACAGAGGCCGAGGGGAGCTGGTTTTTACTTCCCAGTTTCCATTTTGTCTCAAGTGGCACTTAAATTTTTTAAGTAATTCTTTAAAAAAATATATATATATATATATTTTTTATTGACTTTTTTTTTTTTGAAACATCGATCAGCTGCCTCCTGCACACCCCCTCCTGGGGATGTGCCCACAACCAAGGTCCATGCCCTTGACTGGAATCGAACCTGGGGCCCTTCAGTCCCAGGCCGACGCTCTGTCCACTGAGCCGCACCGGTTTCAGCTGCCCTTAATTGTTAAACGTATTGTCACCCTCTGGCGGGAGGACCACCCCCGGGGCTGCCTCCTGCACACACTCCACCGGGGACCGAGCCTGAGGCCCAGGGACCTGCCCCTTATCACCTCCTGGGGCACGGGAGGGCACGCAACCCACTGAGCCACACCAGCCGGGCAGGGGAAGCCTCTCACTGGGGAAGGGCCAGCCCTGGGCTCCCGCCAGGCCTTCGGCTGCTCAGGGGAGGCCCAGCCGCCCGGGGGAGGGCAACCTGCTCTCTGCTCTGTCCACAGATTCAGACGTGAACCTCAACCCGCAACGCCCCTGCACAGACATCCCGGAATCACATTTCACCAGCCATGGGGGCACCCCAAGACCCGGCCCAGCGGACAGACTCACCCCGTCACGTCCGAGAGCTCAGAGCCCCCGGCGCCGAGGACCACGGACACGGCAGTACGGACGGACGGGCGCATCGGACACGGCCCGGTCCAGCCCCCCTCCAGCTCGAGCATTGGGGGGGGGGCTGCTGTCACACACGGTCACCCCGTAAACAACGCTGTGGGTCAGGAGAAAAAGCCCTCCCTTTGATCGCCACGGCGGCTGCCATCAAAGGAAACGCTCCTTTCATCTCCAATCCATTTCCCCCGAGGGGACTGGGCGGGAGGAGGCTGAGGGCTGGAGGCAGGCAGGCGAGGCCGCTGTCCAAGGTGCTGGGCTGCCGAAGGAAGCAAGAACCCGTTTCTTGCCCGAAACCGGTGTGGCTCAGCGGACAGAGCGTCGGCCTGCGGACTCAAGGGTCCCGGGTTCGATTCTGGCCAAGGGCATGTACCCCAGTTGCGAGCATATCCCCAGTGGGGGGTGTGCAAGAGGCAGCTGATCGATAACTCTCTTTCATCGATGTTTCTAGCTCTCTATCTCTCTCCCTTCCTCTCTGTAGAAAATCAATAAAATATGTTTAAAAAAATAAAAAATAAAAAATAAAAAAATAAAAACAGGCTCCCTGCTGGCATGCAACTTCCCGGAGGTTATCGGTGCAGCCGGGGTCAGGCTGGCAGCCGAGGCCTGCCGGGAACGCTTTCTCTCCCTCCCTCCCTCTCTCTCTCTCTCTCTCTCTGTGGCCCGGACGGGGAGGCAGGAGGATGGACGACGGGATGACGGTTCCATAAATCAGAGGCCAGTGCTCGCCGATCGTAAATCTTCATCGCGCCCGCGCCAACCGCCCCCCCCCCCCCCCCCCGCCTCATCAGGGCGCCGAGGCAGGCTGTGCCTGCCCTCGGAGAATCAACTTGACAGAGAGGTTTCTGGGTGTTTTTCCTGATTTAAAAAACATGCTTTTATTGGCTGAAACCGGTGTGGCTCCGAGGATAGAGTGTCGGCCTGCGCACTGAAGGGTCCCGGGTTCGATACCTTGGTTTCAGGCACATCCCCAGTAGGGGATGTGCAGGAGGCAGCTGATGGATGATTCTCTCTCATCATCGATGTTTCTAGCTCGCTATCCCTCTCCCTTCCTCTCTGAAGTTTTTTTTTTCCAATGCTTTAAAATAAATAACTTTAACTCCCCACATTCAGAGGCCGTGGTTTTGGGGTGAGTGAGCGTGGCTCCCGCCCGGGGGCTCCACAAGCGTCTCGGAGCCTCGTCCGAAGGAGAGTCGATGACTCACACCCCCCAGGAGCGTTCTCCCCCTCCACCCTCCCTCCCTCCCCCTTCGGGGTGCGACTCTGCGGAGAGGGAGAAGCTGCAGGAATCTTCCCCGGCTCCCCCATGACGCAAGCAGACCCTCCCATCTGCAGCTCCGGCTCCGATAGCTCCTCGGAAAAGCTTCCGTTCCTTTCCTGGTGGTTAATCCTCACCCAGGGCTATATTTCCCCATTGGTTTTGTTTTTTTAGAGAGAGAGAATGGAAGGGAAGGGAAAGAGGAGGGAGGGAGGGAGGGAGAGAGAGAGAGAGGAACATAGATGGGAGAGAAAGGTAGAGAAAGGGGAGAGAGAGAGAGGGAGAGAGAGAGAGAAAGGGAGGGAGGGAGAGAGAGAGAAACCACCGATACACGCCACCGCGCAGGGAGCCTGCCGGGAGCTGGGAGCTGGGAGCCGGGAGCCGGCCGGAGGAGCCGCGCCCAGAAAGCCCGCCCGGGAAGACCGGCGGGAGAGCCATCCGTCACCCGGAGAGCGATAGACGCCCACGTCTCACTCACCATGTTGATGGAGGACACAGGCCCGATGCTGTTCACGTAGATGTCCACGTCGATGACGGTGGGCCTCACTGCGGAGAGACACGCGTGGGTCAGACACGTGTGGGCCAGCGCTCCGTGGCCGGGACCCGGAACACGCCCCCGCCCCCGGGTCTGAGAGACGGGGGACCGGCCCGGCCGGCGTGGCTCTGTGGCTGAGAGCCAGGAGGTCAGGGTTCGATTCCCAGCCAGGGCGCAGGCCCGGGTTACAGGCTCCATCCCCAGTGGGGGGCGTGCAGGAGGCGGCCGATCTGGGATTCCCTCTCATCGTGGATGTTTCTCTCTCTCCCTCCCTCTCCCCTCCTCTCTGACATCAGTAAAATATATTTAAAAGAGGGGAACTTGGCGGCAGCTATGGCTCAGGCCGTCCCTCCCCGTCTGTCTGTCTGCCTGCCTGTCTGTCTGTCTGTCCGCCTAAAGTTCCCCGAAGAGGAGGGAGCCCTCCTTGCATAGACTACGTTCTGGGAAAACAAGGAGCTGGTGCATGGCCACAGACACATCCTGGGATGTGGGGCCGGCAGATGAAGCAGCCGAGGAAACACAAATCCACAAAAACAGCCCTGGCCTGTTTCCCTCAGGGGCCAGAGCTTCGGCCCCTGGCGGGGAGGGCCCCAGGTTCGATTCCCACCGAGGGCACGTCCCTCGGCGGCAGGCTGGATTCCCGTGCAGGAGGCAACCTACCGAGAAGTGCCTCTCCCATCCACATTCCTCCCTCCTTCTCTCTCTCTCTCTCTCTCTCTCTCCTCTCTCTCTCTCCTCTCTCTCTCCCCTCTCTCTCTCTCCACTCTCCTCTCTCCTCTCTCTCTCTCTCTCTCTCTCTCTCTCTCTCTCTCTCTCTCTCTCTCTCTCTCTCTCTCGTATCCCCCTCCTTCCACTCCCTCCAGAAATCAATGGGAAAAACGTCCTCGGGCGAGGATTAACCAAACAAGAAGCAGCTAAAAACAGAGCCAGCCGAACCCCGAGGAGGCGGAAGAAGAGCCGTCACACGCGGGTCTGAGTGGAAATCGGCGAGCCAGAAAACAGAGAAAGTTAACCTTCCGAGCCGGCGGGGCCGGGGCCGGGCCCTGGACCTCGGGGAGAGTTTCCGGGGTGATTCGGGGTGATCTCGGGCTTTGGGGGGGCTCCCGTCAGCCTCTCCCCCAGCGACAGCGAGCCGCGAAGCCGCCGAGTCCGCACCTGCGTCCCCGTCCCCTCGGCCGTGAGGGAGGGGACCACGGCCTGGCCAGCTCGGCGCGGCCGGCCGCGCTCCGGAAAACGCAGGCATTTCGGAGACGGACGCTAACGAGAGGCTGGCGAGGCGCCAGCAGTGGCCCTGGGACCTTTCAGTCTGCAGGCTGATGCTCTATCCACTGAGCCACACCGGTTTCGGCAAGGCTGTCATTTTTAAAAAAAGATTTTTAAAATATATGATTATTGATGTCGGAGAGGAAGGGAGGATGAGAGAGAGAGAAAGATCAATGAGAGAGAGTCATGGGTCTGCTGCCTCCTGCATGCCCCCCACTGGGGATGGAGCCTGTAACCTGGGCCTGTGCCCTGACCGGGAATCGAACCCTGACCTCCTGGCTCCTAGGTCGGCCTCAGTCCCTGAGCCACGCCGGCCGGCCAGCAGGGCTGCAGCACCGAGCTCTGTGGAGGAAGGAAGGTGCCTGGTGCATTGCAGCCCAGAAGATGGCGGGAAACGTGCCCAGGAGAACCAGCAGTGAGTCTGGGGGGGCTGTGGGCAGGCGGGAGACAAGAGCAAGAGGCGATCAGAGCCGCTGGAAGCTTAGGACCCTCCCCCCTTCCCTCCCCCTCCCGGAGGTGGCGGCGGGGGGCCTGGCCCACCTGCAAGGTCACCGCCTCCGCTCGGCCCCTCCTCCCGGCAGGCAGTGTGGGCACTCTGAGCGCCTGCGCAGTCTCCCCCGGGTTCCCACCACCACCTGCACCTGGCTCCCGCTGAGCGCCCACCGAGGAGCCAGGCGGTCCCGGGTTCGATTCCCCCGGTTGCAGGCATGCTCCCCGGTGTGGGGCAAGCAGGAGGCGGCCGATCCACGATTCCCTCTCACCGTGGATGCTTCTCTCTCTCTTCCTCGTCCTCTCTCAGATCAATAGAAAACATATTTTAGCCCTGACCGGTGTGGCTCCGTGGACGGAGCGTCGGCCTGCAGACTCAAGGGTCCCGGGTTCTATTCCGGTCGAGGGCATGGGCCTGGGTGGCGGGCACATCCCCAGCGGGGGGTGTGCAGGAGGCAGCTGGTCCATGTTTCTCTCCCATCGATGTGTCTGACTCTCTCTCCCTCTCCCTTCCTCTCTGTAAAAAAATCGATAAAATTTTAGAAAAAACAAAAAGCAAAAATCCCCATCTCGGCGCAGACCGCGCGGCCGGCGCCTGCTCCCGGGGACGGGCACTCACTGCCGATGTCCGGCCGCAGCTTCCTGTCATATTCGCGCAGCAGCTTGTTGAGGATGAGGGTCACGTCCCCATCCTGGGACCTGGGCGCCAGGACCCACTTCTGGTTGGAGGCGGCGTCCTCCTGCTCCTGCTCCTCCTCCCGGGACCTGCAGGCGGGGCGCCGAGGTGAGTGTGTGAGGGACGGACAGCTCCTCCGTCCCACCTGGGCCTCTGGACTCCCCCTCCCTCCCTCCCGTTCAACAGGAGAAGGGCCGAAACCGGCGTGGCTCCATGGACGGAGTGTCGGCCTGCGGACGGAAGGGTCCCGGGGTCGACTCCGGTCCAGGGCATGGACCTTGGTTGCAGGCACATCCCCAGTGGGGGGTGTGCAAGAGGCAGCCCATCAATGACTCTCTCTCATCATGGATGTTTTTTCTTTTCTTTAAAAAATATATTTTGTTGATTTTTTACAGAGAGGAGGAGAGAGGGATAGAGAGCTAGAAACATCGATGAGAGAGAATCATCGATCAGCTGCCTCCTGCACGTCCCCCACTGGGGATGTGCCTGCAACCAAGGTCCATGCCCTGGACCGGAATCGAACCCGGGACCCTTGAGTCCGCAGGCCGACGCTGTATCCACGGAGCCACACCGGTTCCAGCCCCAGATATATATATATATATTCTTATTGATTCCAGAGAAGAAGAGGGAGGGAAGAGAGAGAGAGACATCCATGATGAGAGAGAATCCTGGACCAGCTGCCTCCTGCCCACCCCCGGCGAGGGATGGAGACCGTGCCCTTGATCGGAATCGAACCCGGGACCCCTGAGTCCGCAGGCTGACGCTCTATCCACTGAGCCGCACCGGCCAGGGCAGGTCTCAGCTCCGGGAGCTGGGGAGCCGTGGGCATGGGGCACGCCGTCCGCCTTCCCGCGGGAACAATGACAACCTCGCCACACACCGGGGCACGCACGCGCCTCCGAGAACAGACAGCCGTCCGCACGCCGGAGGCCGAGAACAATGCCGCCCGTCCACAGTTTGGATCTTTATCTTATTTTATTTTATTTTTGCTCGGCCGGTGTTGCTCAGTGGTGAGCAGCGACCTCTAGGCACCAGGAGGTCCCGGTTCGATTCCCCGTCAGAGCCCACGCCGGGGGCTGCAGGTTCGATCCCCAATAGGGGGCGTGCAGGAGGCTGCCGGTCCACGGTTCTCTCACCTCGTGGATGTCTCTCTCTCTCCCTCTCCCTCTCCCTCCCTCTCCCT